ATTTAATTTTTAGAAGGTCCCAATCATCTGGCTTTTCTTCTGCTGTTGGTGCATTTTGATTTGTGCTTGGTAGTCTATTTATACCAAATATTAGGGCCCGTAAGTTTGACCCTAAATTTTCCTTGAGAAACCGTAGTTCTAGGTTTCACATTATCACTTGCAACTTTTGAAAACAACTATTATAGAAAATAAAGTCTAACTCCAATATTTTGCTATGCCCCTAGACGGACTAAAAGGATCATACTGAGCATATCACCACCACCTTCAGGGTCCTAGAGAACTTGTCGCTTGTGTTTTTCTGTACCAACAATCACTCCTTTCTTAAGAACTACTCTGACAATGCAGTTAGGCATTTTTGCCTAGTTCTAATATGTACCTTATCTACAGTGCCATTTTATTAAAATGCAACTGCTGTGAATAATTGCTCAGGAAGGTTTGAAAATACTATTACAACCTAAAATATGATTTGAGTTGGTACCTAATGAATTCTAATCTAACCATATTTTTTAAAATAGTAACAATACCACATCCTTAAAACAGAACAGTCATTCAAATATTCACTGAATTAATACCACTGCCATACCCACAGACACTGTGGTACACCAACGGATACTATGGGACACATGGAGCAACTCAGTGTTATGTTGGCCATACAAGGGAAGCTCTGAGCCAGAGAAGTCCCTATAACTCAAGGTTATGGAGAAAGCATACTGCACATGATACAATTACATGTGATCTCAGTGCAAAGCAAAAAAAGGTAGTTTTGTTAAATTTCAGTTTCAAAGTAAAATTTTACGATATTCTTAACTATAGCTACCGATTAATTTTTACCCATTAAGATACAAGTGATTATTTAATGAGAGCAGATATTATTATGCAGTTAATGACAGCAGATATCACATGCACAGTTAAGCAACATTTATTCAAAAGTAATATATTTCTATAATAATTCTTACCTTCTCATAAATTTTAGTGATTTCTTCATTTGAGCTAAACACTAGCTGTAATGCCCCACATCCTGATGCCCAGATAATTTTCTGTATAGCTCTAATTACACAAATATCAGGCATATACCTTGAAGCCTGCAAAATAGTTAAGTAATTAATACTATTAATAGGATATTAAAATGAAATAATCACTAGAAAAACAAAAATGGTTCTCCTTGTAAAGGAAATAGGAATAGTCGTAAGCAAGCACTACTATATTTAGGTTCCCAAGTTGCCTTTGTCCCCCCCCCCTTTTTTACCAGCCATACCACAAAATATGTTCTAGTCATCAACTGGCCCTGTACTATTTTCATAAGAACATTAAAAAGACTACGAAAAAGATCTAATCATTTCACTTCCAGATTTTTATCCAAGAAAAATGAAAACCTATGTACACACAAACACCTGTACAGAATGCTCACAGTTAACTTTATTCACAGCCAATATAATGGGAACAATTAAAATATCCTTCACCAAGCATATGGGTTAACAAAATCTGGAATATTCAAAATGGAGTACTACTCTGCAATAGAAAGACATGAACTACTGATTAACACAACAAATGTCAAGGTCACTGTTCTGAATTAAAGAAGCGAGACTTGAAAACAAAAACTACTCTACAGTGACAAAAATATCAATGGTTGCCTATAGCCAGGGATCAAAAGAAGAATGGAGTTCAAAGAAGCCTAAGAAGAGTGATGGAAATGTTCTGTATCTTGATTGTGACAGTAGTTTCACAAGTAAACACAACTGTCAACTCACTGAACTGTATGCTTTATAAGGATGCTATTTACTGTACATAAATTATACTTCAATTAAGTGGATTAAAACAGAAAGTACTAATAGATAAAATTCATGTAAAGGAAACTTTAAACTGAGATAGTGGTTAAAGTGAATGGATCTAATTAAGCCTCAAATTGTGATAAAGATTATTTCTAATTTCACAGAGGGTCAAAAATAGAAGAAATGAACATTTCAGGATTTCAGAGCTTTAAAAGTTTAATACTAACCTCATCAGATATCTGTTGAGCAAGACGAATGGACACATTTCTAAGCATGCACTCAGATGATGGATTAGGAATACTCTGAAGGGCACTTTGTAGCACGACTGCTTGATCATGAGTAACTTGATTGATCTGAAAACAGTTAACCATTTTACTTGGAGTAAGTAATTTGTACATAACCAGAACCCAACCATTTGCTCCTCATCCATTACCACTTCTTCAAGATGACCTTCTCTCTCTCTCTCTCACTCACACATACACACACAGCAGGAACCCTGGTGATTTACGCAACAAGCAATTCACATTGCTAACAATGTGAACATCCTTAGTCTTCTTGTACTTTGGAGTGCCACATATCCCTCTGCAAATCCCCATCATAGATGAAGACAACATGTGTTTCTACATCTGGGCTCAGATTAACTTGCAGAGGATAAATGATACAACAGAATGGTTCTACCCTCATCTACAGACTTGGTAAAGTTCTGCACATCTTTTATTATGTATGCTCCCTGCTCACATTCCCCTATGTCATCAAATTTTCTTTGAAAAGGAGAAAAATTAAGGCATATTTACAAAGGAATAATAACATACAAAAGACACCAATGCTTTACTGAATAGCAAAACTAAGATTTTAAATCCATGACAAAAAAAAGATAAATTTTTATTAAGTAGTTACTAGCCAGGCAATTCTGACTGCTTTCAAGTTCTAACTCCCCTTCTGTATACTCTAAGTATTTCTACAGTATTATAAGACACGTCTACTTGACTGATTTTGCATTTAGAGCTCCCTATTGAATGTGAACTTGAGATTAGACTATTATATACCTTTTTATCTCTAGTGGCATACATTTTCTGAATAATTACTGGAGCAAAGGTAAAAAGGGAACCATAATACTGTTTACCTCAACTAAGCACCTGTATGGGGGGATGGGGATCACAGCTCCCTGGTGGCAGAAGTGTTTATGCTCAGCTACTAAATGAAAGGTTGGCGGTTCAAATATACCGAGCAGCACCACAAAATAAAGGCTTGGTGATATGCATCCGAAAGGTCACTGAAAACCTTATGGTGTGCAGTTCTAGTCTGAACGTAGGGTTCACCATGAGTCAAAATCAACTCAATGGCAACAGGTTTGGTTTTTGGTATTGGATCAGACATCATGACAAGAATCCATTTTTATCCTAACAAGAACCTCTTTTTTTAAACCTAGTAAGAAACACTAGATCTTAACATGGAAATAGATAATACACATGTCCATGAAAAAACCACCAGGCTGTATAGCATAAGAGATTACACCATATCAAACTCCTATATATCCATTATATAGATTCAACAATTATCAACAAAGGACCAAAACTGTTTTATCCACTACCTTTCTCCCATTTTCCACCTATCTCTCTACAACAGGATTATTTCAGAGCAAATCCTAGACATCATATAAATTTCATCTGTAAACATTTCAGCAATTATTTCCAAAAGACAGAGAGGCTTTCTTTGAAACATAACCGTATCATCATCACACCTAAAACAATGAACAATTTACTTAATCCATAATATCACATATGAAGCCCATATTCCATTCTCCCTGATTAAGACCTAAGTCATTTTTAAAGATGATCTATAGCCATATAACTTCATTTTCTACCAGTAAATTAGGATAACAATTACTTATGATGCGTATAAAATTACTCAAACTTTAATTACAATTAAAGGTATATTTTGGCATCTTCTAAGAAGGCATTATACTCTGGTATGCTGTGAGAACTTTTGCTCATATGGATCAAGAATGATACCAACCAAGGCAGAGAGAGTCAGAATAGGCTCAGAATTTAAGGTTAAGTTTAATTTAAGGAAGTTTAAGTTTAAGGAAGTTGGCACAGGCTAAATTGATCTTATCTCTTTTATTATTATCTGTGTGTTTATCTATCTTCCTAATAAGAGTTAACAAAAGACTCATATGGGGTTTTGTAAGGCTGAAAATGATTGAAAGTTGAACAGGAATTAAAGAAGCAGGGAGAAACTGCCCTCTCCAATCAGTAAAACAAGGTTTTGAAATTTTAGTATCAATAATTTATTAGAAGAAAACCTCTACAATGAGGTACCAATGGAAAGGAACTTTTAATATTCTTAACCAACCTTGAATGCTGAGAAATTTAACTTTAAAAATTATCTACTATTATAAAAAGACTTTTTTAAAATTGGGTATTACCGATGTCATGGTATTCACACCTTCCACACCTGGATGACAAGCCTCTGCCACAGCTCTAACATGGCCGTAGCCAATGGCAGTCAGCAACAGTTTGGCTATTTTAAGAGCATTGAGGTAGGCACCCCTTCGAGTTTCCATATCTGCATTTGGTAGAAAGTTGTTTCTTGTAAGCATACTCAGGACAAGGGGTAAGCCACCACTTTTCAAGAAGTGAAATTGAAAGTCTGAAGAATCATCAGCCAGAGGTGCACCAGCAGGCATTAACAAGGCATAGACTACCTGGGGAAAAAAAGGGACAAACACTGTATTAAAAGGTTTTTGAAAATTATTGTTTCCATCTCCCCTGTTGTCACTGTTACGAAATTCTTGCCCATTTCAAAATATTTCATCATAATCTTACCCACGTTTTTCACATTTCCAAATAAAAGTCAAATTTTAAAACATCAAATTAACACAAAAGGAAAAAACCAACCTCTGTTAAGTATAGCACTTGTGAGGCTGAAGGACCAAAGAAAAGTGAGTCAAGTGATGGGCTAAGGCTGCTCTCCCCAAGTTTTGCGTGGTCTAAACAAATAGCTCTCAGTTTTTCTATTGTTGTGCTATCTGTAAGAAAAAAGAGACACAGTCTAAAAACAAAACAATCCATGTATTCATAGTATCTCGCTTATGGTATGTTGAATACTACTTTAACACGAAATTAACAATCAATTCAGTGAAGCCATAGATTCAAACTTCACAAGACATAAACAGACCTGGATTGGTAAAAATTAACCAGGATTCTATCATCAGTCAACTCAAACATGAAGGAAGCAGTCCTCTACTTAAAGACCTTAAATCAATATGCCTCCCTCATCGATTAGAGAACAAAAAACATAAAAAGCACAGTAAAATGAAATAGGGCTTACTAAAAAAACTCTTCTTATTAGCACATTTACTATTCTTTGCCTCCCTATGCATTAACTGTTTTGGTTTTTATTGGTATCCTAGAAGCTGAACCTTAACAAGCAAGCATGAAAAAAGGAAATAATGGCTAATGGTCACTTCAAAATAAGCAGACCTTTGTATCTTTACCTTTTGTTGTAATGTTAAAACATGATTTTTTTAAATCACAGTGGAAAAAAAGTTAAAAAAAAAAAAATCCCTTGACACAATTCATCATTAGCTATCAGATTTAAGAATAGTCAATCAACTTTAGAAATCACTCTAAATAATCAAGTTATTTCCAAGGCAACTGCCCTATGATTAAAACACCACTTGATAATATTTTTTTTAAATAAAGGGAAAAACTTCATTAACAGGCCTGGAGTATTCATTCAGTTGCCGCATTATAACAACCAACTTTTAACGTGTCAAAACTGTTGGTCTTCCCTAAAGGAATATAGTGATGAGTAATGTAACTAATTGAAGTATTGCATTTTTATAGAAAACATTTTTTAATATCTTCTCATGTTATTAAATATTCATCTCCTACATCATTTTCATCAATTTAAATGATAGTTATGTCATCTTACCAATATTACCAGTTATTACTGGGTATTTAGGTATCTCTCTCTCTCTTTTTTTTTTTTAAGAATGAAGATCCTTGGATTTAATTTTTCTAATTCTTTCAACCAAGAAAAAAATCCCACAGGCATAAAGAACTGTAAAGTCCAAGGCTTCTGACATATACAACCAAATTACAACCCTTAAAAACAAGTCAATTCATACTCTTATCAACTATATTTGAGAAAGGGTTGCTTGGATTAAAAATATTCTGAGTTTAATGTTATTGGGCTAAAGTTTATTCATCTGAGGAGTTTGGACAATTTCAGCTCTAGGGGTAAAGTGCTGGGCTTCTAACTGTAAAGGGTGGCAATTCTACAGTCTAGAAAACCCTGTGGGCAAGTTCTACTGTCACAATGGGCTGCTTGAGTCAAAAATTGACTTGATGGCACCTAACAAGGCCAACAATTCTGTGAATATAAATGATTTTAGATCTGATTATGTATGTGCTCACTTTACGAAATATGGAAAAACAAATTTTAAGCCATGCATAACCCTATCATTTAAGATTTTCGCTTATTCCTTTCTAATCTTTTAGAAAGATACCTAAATCTAAGTTTGTGAAGAATGGGAATTCCAGCGCACTTAACTGATCGAGTGGCAGTTGTTAGAACAGATAAGGAAGGGGATAGTGTGTAGTTCAAAAGTGGAAAAAGTGTACAAGAGCACTGTCTCCTTTCACCATACTTATTCAATCTGTTTGCTGAACAAGTAATCTGAGAAGCGTGACTATATGAAGAAAAACGTGGTATCAGGATTGGAGGAAGAATCATTAACCACCTGTGATATGCTGAAAATGAAGATAAACTCAAAGCAACTTGTGCATGAAAGAAATTACTCAGTTTTCAATACGGATTACAGATGAATGTGAAAAAAACAAAAATCCTCACAACCAGACTGATAAACATCATCATGATAAACGGACAAGAAATTGAAGTTGCCAACAATTCCTTTTTACTTGGATCCACAATCAACGCTCATGGAAGCAGAAGTCAAGAAATCGAACAACGTACTGCATGGGGTAAACCTGCTTGCTGCAGCAAAAGACTTCCTTAAAATTTTAAAAAGCAATGATGTTACTTTGAGGTCTGAGGTATGCCAAATCCAAGCCATGGTCTTTTTCAATCCCCTCAACACATGTCAAAGTTGGATAATAAAAAAGGAAAACAGAAAACTGTTGCATTCAAACCATGGTATTGGTAAAAAAGTACTGAATATACTGGACTGTCAAAGAATGACTATATCAAGTCTTAGAATAAATACAATCGGAATGGTTCCTCAGAAGTGAGGATGGTAAGATTGTGATTCACTTATTTTGGACATGTCATCACAAAAAAAAAATTGCTATGTACAGCAATTATGATTAGTAAAGTTAAGGGGACAGCAATAAGGAGGAAAATGGTCAATGAGATAGACCGACAGTATTTTAATAGGGGGCTCAACATGAAGATGGTGCAGAATCAGGCAATATTTCATCATTCTGTTATAAAGAGGGATGCCATGAATCAGAGCACTCAACAGCAAGCCTAAACAATTATTAAATAGTACAGGAAATAATGAACAATAACAGACATCAATAGCACAAACCTTGGTGCTCAACTGCCTACACTTGAATCCCAGAACTGCCATGTAAATTATGTAACTCTGGGGAAATAGCTTCACCTCTCTGTGCCTCTGTTTTCCCATCTTTAAAACAGAGATAAATATAGTAATTCTTTCAAAGGTTATGTTGTTAGTTTTAAATGAGTTAGTAAGTCCAAAGAGCTTACAGAGTTTGGTACATTTTAAGATATTAGCTATACCAAACTCCTAGAAAAAAGGAAGTTCTTATGTGGCAAAGTAACCCATTCTGTCTGGTCACATAGCATACATTTCAACCATTTAGTAATGAGCAACAGTTTGTTTTCCTGACTCACATAGGGAAAGGTCACAGGAGTTCTTAGATACAGTCTAGGTTACAGAGGATTGAATTACCAAAGAGTAGACTGCAGAAGTTCTAAGTTTAACAGCAAATCACAATGGAGATACCTGACTTCAGGCAAAAATTTACAGTAATCTAAAATACGCAAAGTTAATGGCTAGATTAAAAAAAGACTAATTATATATGTTGTTTTCCCTTTAAAATACAAGTGTGTACATGTATGCATACACACCCCAAATGACTACCAAAATGTTATATCTAGTTACCACAGCCAGAAACAGAATTTATAACCACTTCCATTTCTTAGACCCCTTGCACTTCCTTTCTTATAGAACTGAGCATGTGTGTGCATAAACCACCATAGTGACAGAATGGGGTAGCATTTGTTAAGTATTGACAGAAGTGTCAGGTATTACACTAGGGATTTTCTAAACATCACTTCACTTAATCCCTGTAATTCTATGAAATAGTTATTACTAGCCCAGTTTTACAATGAAGCTCTGAAAGATTAAGATAACTTATGGCTAAGACCATAGAGTAGCAATGAGAAGTAGATTTTGAATTCAAGTTCATTTGATTTCAAAGCCTGTAATTTTTCTACTGTAAAACAATCATTGCTGGCTTTTCAAAAGTTGTTGCTTCAAGTTTAGATAATATACTTTGATTATATAAAAAATTTAAAAACACCCTTTAATGTTTCCTGCTTGAGTTGCCTAGCAGTAGTACACTCTCGCCACCTGGTGGCAATAATGCCCAAATCACAAGATCAGGGACTTTGAGAAGGGTTTATGTATTAATGAGAGCTCTGGTGGAATAGCGCCTGAGGCATGTGACTGCTAACCAGAAGGCTGGGGGTTCAAACCCACCAGCCACTCCTCGGAAGGAAGGCTGGGCATTCTACTTCCGTAGTGATAGCGCCTCGGACACCCAAGGAAGGGTTGTTATGAGTTGGCTCTAACTCAACAACAGTGAATTTGGTTTTTTGGTTTATGTTTTAATTTTTATTTGAGGCTGAAAGTACATACATACATAAAGCAACAATGACTTCTACTCAGACACTAATAAATGAAACATTACAAAATTTAAGTAACAGGGATAAGAAAACAAAATGTTTGAGAGATTTCCTTAGCTGGCTAAGACACTCACACTTGAACTGATTCTGTACCACTGCATTCAGAAAGCAAAGTGGGAACGACTTAACAAGGTGTTTACTTTTCTAAAGAAGATAATGGAAGCACAAGAAACTTTTGAAGGTTACCCAGGTCAATTAAAGATGGTGTACTGAATTGTATTTGTCAGGAATGTAGCCCCAAGCACCACTAAAGCAAGAATCAATGAATATAAAACTATATAAACTCAAAAGGACATAAAAACATGAAAAGAAGCAACACTAGAGATATTAACAAATTACTGAAGGTGTAGAGGTATGGAAGAGGGATAGCTGGCTTAGCACAACAAAGATGTTTGTGGAGGATGGGAAAGGAGAGGGCATCTCTAAGTTAGCCCATTCCCCATTGAATCCTAGAAAAGCTAAAGATTTAGAAACAAGTACAGATGAATGAAAGGCCTAAAAATCAGAAGAAATGATTGAAGTCTACATAAGAAGCAAGTTTCTACTCCCCCCATAAAGGATTCAGGCCATTAATTAAGTGGTTATGTTAGACAACACTTTTAAAATATATTTATGAATTATACCACATAATTGTTTGCTTGCTTTTTTGGATATATCACTAAATTCTGTGTTTTGTTACAACAACGACAAAACTTGTAGCAGCCAACTGGTTCTCAATTCTTACTTATATAAATAGACAGCCAAATGCAGATATTTGATGAAAGCAATCAAAGTTAAATAGATACACACAAAAAAAAATTCTGAAAATTATTTGTAATTGCATACTAGAAAAATCTAAATACCCCTATAACACATTTAGATTGGTTGACAAATCTACGGTATGTATATATACAATGGAGTAATATACAGATATAAAAATGAATGAGAGCATGGAGAGATGGACACTGGGAAGAGGTAACTATGGGGAGGAAGTGGGAGGGGAGCTGTTACATTGTGGTAAACTGTGGTCAATGTCAGGAGACAAAGTGTATGTGAACTGCTGTATGGAAAGTGAATTTGCTCTGTAAATCTTCACCCAAATCACAATTAAAAAAAAAAAAAAAGAAATGAGAAAGCTTACTATAAATCATTAAGGAGTGATTTCTACAATATACTGTTATACTGTTAAGCGAGAGAAGCAAAGTACAAGAGTATGTAGTATGTTGCATTTGTGTGAGAAAGAAGGGGGAGTAAGTATACATGCATATCCTTATTTCTGCAAAAACAAATTAGAAGAAACGCACTAACAAAATTTGTTACTGAGAAGAGGTTAACAAACAGAAATGTGTATCTTTTTATATTGACACTTAGAAGCATATGATTTTTTTTTTAACCTATTAAAAAATAAAACATCAGACCAGGGAAGAAAAGGAGTCCCTGGCTGACAAAAATGGTTAAGTGCTAGAATACTAACCAAATGGATGATATAATAGGAAACCATGAATCCATACAAATAAATTGAAATTGCACACCACTGACAAGTATTATGGCTAAAGATGCGTAACTTGAATCTAATCATAATGAAAACAGATAAACAAATTGAAGAGGTAGTCTACAGAGTAACTGGCCTGTAATCTTTAAATGTCAAGGTCATGAAAGTCAAAGACAACAGACAGGAGCTATTCCAGAAGGAAAGTAAAAAGTTGTATCAACTAAACAAAACGATTCTGAAGTAGATTTTTTTGCTCTAAAAGGTCGGGCAATATACTTCCATAGTGGTGCTGCCTCGGAAACCCAAGGAGGGGTCGCTATGAGTCGGATCTGACTCAATGGCAATGAGTTTGGTTTTTCAAAGGACATTACATTATAGCAGAACCTTGGATGGGGTCTAGTGATTTGATGGCAGTAATACTTCCTGGTTTACATGATTATATTTTGGTTATATAGAAAAATATCCTTGGCTCTGTGGGCTGTAGTTTGTCAATCTCTAAAACACAAAGCATGCCCCATTTAAAACAGAATTTGCTAATAATGCCCCCCCCCCCGTTGTCTAGCAAGCACTTTATCTAATTCTCAAAACACACACACAATGAAAATCTTACCTGGTGGCATAAGTTTCATAAGTACTCTTGCTCCATCTCTAAGAGGTGGCATATTTAGGCTACTCCCTAAGTCTGCAACTTGCCAAAGGAAAGAGATGTATCTGGGATGCAGTGACATTATCTAGAATATAAAATGTTCACCTGTAAATTACACCACTCCAAAGGAAAAAAAAGTCCCTGAAATAAATTTGTTGATCTCTGTATTTTTGCTTATGTCATTTCTGCTCTCTGAAATGGTCTGCCTTCTTCATCTTATCACCTTTACAACTCTTTCATCACGCAGACTGAACATACCATAAATATAACCTCCAGTATTTTGTGGCAGCTTTTACTGCTTTGCTAAACTATATACCCACAGAGCAGATAACTTGCAACTCTGTACATAAAAAAGGGTGGCATGCTCCCTACTAGTTAAATTCCTAATCCAATCATTGAAAGGAACTAAATATCCTTCTGACACTGGAGTGGCTGGTATTATTGTAGGCATAACATTCTTGGAAGGGGAAGGAAGGAAAGAGTTGCTATTTCTTTAGATACAAGATACCTTACTGACAATCTGAGAAAGAGTGCAGATATTTTCCTATATAAACAGTTTTAAAGGAAGAACCAGTATCACAGTGATATTTTTCTAAAATTACATATTCAAGAGTGCTCTAATTAAGCTGTACAATAGACTAACTCTATAGTAATTTGGATTTTGCCTCATTAAACTATAATTTCAAGAAAAAAACTGTTCTATATAATACTTTTTTATTCCCAAAGAACTTAAGCATAATGCTTGGCATACGGATCTACTCACCACCCCAGGCAAACAGCTTTCCACTTCTGGATTTGGACCATCACTGTAATGATTACCATGGTTTCCAGGAGATCCAGTTGAGGAATCAGAAGAGCTATCAGGACTTGAAGGCATATTGGAACTTATTTGTGTAAGTTTGGCTGTAATTAGCTGAAAATGACAGATTTTATTAGTATCGAAGACAAAACACAGAATTTAGTGATATATCCAAAAAGCAAGCAAACAAAATTATGTGGTATAATTTCATAAATATATTTTAAAAATGTTGTCTAATATAACCACTTAATTAAGTTGGCTTTTTTTTTTTAAAAAAAAAGTATTGTGATTTTGGTTACAGTTTACACAACAAACTGATTTTCAATTCAACAATTCCAACACAATTTGTTTTGTGACATTGATTGCAACCCTCACAATGTAACAGCACTAGTCCCTATGTTTACCATTTCCATTTGTCCTTTCCTATCACTTCCTGTTTTATGAGCTTTATCCCTTGGACACTGTCCTTTGGATTTCATATAGTTAATTGTTCTAAGGGGTGCATACCTCCCTCGTGTTATTGTTCACCCTTACAGACCTATTATTTAGATGAAAGTTTAGCCATGAAGGGAGCTCAATTCTGGGCTTGAAGGGTATCTAAGGGCTATAGTCTCTAGGGTTCTACCAGTCACTATCAGACCACTAAGCCTGGTGGTCTTTATAGTTTTGAGTTTTGTTCCACATTTTTCTCCTACTCTATCAAGGACCTTCTATTGTGATCCCCTTCACAGCAGTTGACAGTGGTAGCTGGGCATCATCTAGTTCTTCTGGTCTCGGGGTGCTGAGGGCTGAGGTTTGTGTGGTCCGTTAGTCCTTTGGACAAATTATTTCCTTCTGTCTTTGATATTCTTCAATCTTCTTTGCCTCAGACAGGGAAAGACCAATAGTTGCACCTTAGATGGCTGCTCACAAGGTTTTAAGATCCCAATCACTACTCACCCAAGTGGGATGTAGAAAACTACCTTTGTGTACTGACAGTTGACCTTGATGTCCCTTGAGACTATGGTCTTGAGCCTCCAGGCCCAGTGACTCATTCCCTCAAGGTGTTTGGTTATGGCTAAGAAAGTAAAGAAGTTTGTTTTTAAAAACCCTTTTCTCTATCCACTCTAAGTGCCACAATGCCTATCTCACTTAGCGTTACAACCAAAACACCTAACAGAGCATAGCACATAACAGGATCCATGGAATAAATGAAAATAGCCTCAGGTTTGACTTTTGTGAAAAGAGCGATGATTATATATACTTACAGATTTATCTTTTAAGTTTAATTGTCCAATTAGCTTTCTGTCATCTGCAGAATCTATTAGCTCACCGCCCACAAAAAGCTCAATTTTTGTATGGGCGACATTGGCCTTAATACGATTGAGAATACAACGTCGTACTGAACCAATAGTATCATTTGTATGAGACCATACATCCAAGTCATCAACCTGTCTGCCTTGGTTTGGAAATCGAACTATAAAAGAGAGGTGTTTACCACGAAAAGCTCTGGGGGTAAAAAAATAAAAAAGAACATCATCATAGTAAGCAGACTTTCAAATATTTGTGCCATGAAAAAAAGCTGGAAATTTAATACTAAATGTTTCCTTAATGAACAAAAGGAAGCTAAATATATTATAATACCTCAAAAATATATTTTATTGCTTTTAACTACAAATATTATAATCAATATTTAAATAACAATGCAATCATACTGTATTTGTACCACTCTGATAACTACAGCTACAAAAAATTTAGGTATCTAGTTATAATAAATGTAAACAGAGATATAAGTTAAGACTTCACTTCTTTTTGTGCTGTGAAAGCCCAATTCACTAAGACTGTTTTAAATATAGAAGATAAACTTTAGCTTGAGAACATCAACAAAAATGCCAAGATGGTTTTGTTTTTTAAATTCTTAATATCAAAATTCACTAAATATGATACTCTATTGGCATAATATCTTCTTTGGGGTAAGAAATAAAATACAAAATTATATTCAAAGAGCAACTTTATATAATTTCATGGTTAACAAAGAGATCTCTTTAAAAAATTACTGATAGTGTTCATGCTATAAACATCTCTAAATTATAAATACCATTTGAATTACTAAATGCTTAAGTCTACAAGAGAAATTCGAGCAAAGCATTAAAAAATATGTCTTGCTATATTGACTATCTGCCAAAGGAGCTTTTAAGAGTTCATTCCAGTTACTCTCCATCCTGACTATCCTATCATTTTTAATAGTGTAAATGAATGACATAAAAAGACTTGAATTGTAAAATATAAATGCAACACTAAAAAGGCATTTTTCAAATGAAAAAGAAAGAGGACTAGATTCAATGAATGAGAATGCCTTGTCAAAAAAACAAAAATAAAACAGATCCTAGGGGGATAAAAGGGTCTATTATAAAAAAAAAAGGTAAAATACTAATTATGTTTTTATAATGGACAAGACATCAGCATTTCCAAAAATGAAATTTTCTTCACCCTTTTACCTGTCCATCATCACTTTCTTGATCAAACAGCTAAGAAAATACCAAATAAAATACCAAATAACTAAGAATTAAGCACTAGCAGATCCATCACAAACCTCGACATGGGTAGAATTGTTCTTTCCTCGTGATAATCACTGTCACATTCATTTATATATTCCCTTAAAACAGTTAATACTCGAACCATTCGAACGGCTTCTTGTCTTGCACAATTAATACTGTCTTTGTCTCCATCCAAAACACACAACGTGTCATAGGAGGCTTTCAAACGATCAAAGCAAGACTGAATGAAGTCTTCATGGATCACCACCTATAAATAACAGGCCAATTTAAAAACATTTCATGTTGTTTTAAAATGTAAACATTAAAGATAGCTTTATCAGAGTCTATATTGGTAATAAAACCCATGTTTATTAAAAGGAAGCAAGTGTTACGTAAATTAACAAATTTAAGCGAGCTAGTCAAGAAATGAACTTCAGGATTAGGTGTTAGTATCAACAAATTGAGTCGTATCTCTTGCCATTTCAGTATATGATAAATAAGTATACTCAACCCCCCCCCCGCACACAAATACCAAATAATCTCAATTACCTCGAGATAATTGTCAAGGCAAGATTCATTTAGTCAGCAATCTATGAGAGAAATATGGACTAAATAGTTTAGCTCTATTCTTAATAGAAGTTGTGACAAAACAATTTCTAGTTTATTTTGAATTAAAGAAGAAAATCTTAAAATCAAAAATGTTCTCTGAATCAGAATTTGAATTAGAGGAAGTTTTAATACATCTCAATCCTCACCTGATTGACCTGTAACCTTGGACCAAGGTTTGTGTATATTTCTTTAAGGAGATCTATAGCTCTGCTAGCAATATCATCATTACTCTGAATCACAACCTAGGTTCAAAAAGATTAAAGCATTAATACCTTTCAAGAAAAATTGTAATTGGGCATTTAAACTCAAACCACATCCTCAGTTATTTTTTAATGAGCAGTTATTAACCTAATGGTAAGCTGACTTCATAATTTAAGTAAGAAAAACAGACCAAAAGAAAGAAGAGGGAAAACTCAACTTTGAATAAAGAAAGAATGAGACATACATTTTACACACATAAAATATGCTTTGATAAGTGGTATTTAACCCAGCAACTGAACATCCTGGTACTCAAGTTGTGAAGCATTCAAGGGCAAGTTCAAATTAGTTAAAAAGAAAGTAAGAGACAAGATGAAATAAAGTTTAGCATAAAAAAACCCCTCCCCATTTCTACAGATCTTTGTCATTCATCTAATTAAGTCAGTGGTTTTCAGTAATGAGGATAATAAATAATTATACTTAAAATCTCCTATACCACCAAATAACCCAACAACCCTTGAAGTGTTTTAAAGCTGTCCCCTATTAACAGACTTGGGGAGGGAAAGGAAGCAAGCATCGGGAGACTTGGCAGAAAAAAGCATGCCTTTCTAACTACAACTAGCTTTACATTTTGAAGTATCATGGAAATTTTGATTTTTAAAGTGTTTCTGTAGTTTAAAAACGTTTGAAAACTACCAACTTAAAAATAAACATTTGAGTTTGCAGAGAAATATTTTATATCCAAAAACCAATATAAGCTGTATAATAGGTCAGATTTCAAAAGTTAGGAATAATATATTAGTACTATCATGGAGGAGGGAGGTCTGGTAGCATAGTGCCTAAGGCACTTGACTGCTAACCAAAAGGCTGGCAGTTCAAACCCACCAGCCACTCCTCAGAAGGAAGATGGGGCAATCTATTTCCACAGAAAGACTGCCTGGGATAGTAAATGGACTAATGAGAAAGTTACTGATTGTTCCAACCTGCTAAAAGACACATTTGACCACTAGTAAAATAAAATACCACTCCTCGGAAGGAAGGTTGGGCAATCTACTTCCATAGTGATTCTGCCTCAGAAACCCCAAGGAGGGGTCACTATGAGTCGGGTCCGACTCGACGCACATAACAACAACACATCATGGAGGAAAGACTGCCCTGAAGCAGAACATAATATTTTACTACCCCAGGTATTTACAACTATCACAAGTTAAACCAGTGCCAGTAAACTATACATTCATGATCTCTTCTAAAGTAAGTCTTCTCTTCTGTCCTCTAATTATTTTAATAGCCTTAAATGTATTATAACCTAAAACTTTTATCAACAGAGAGAGACAGAGATTGGCATTGAATAAAAAAAGGGGGAACAATAATTCCCAAGACAATAGAACATAAGTGGCAAAGGGAGGAAAGGAGAGAGGGAGGGGGTGTGCCCACTGGCAAACACCACAAAAAGATGATGAACTGGGACTGATTCATCTCCTGGGACCAGTATCAAAATAAAATGAATACACTACAAAATTATGATTCCATACTCATTTGAAAAAGTATATCAGCTATATAGTGTTTTTACTTTTCACTTACCCTCCAAAGGTAGTCTAAACCTATTAACTCCAAATCATCCATCATATAGGCTCTTCTTTTTGCCACTAGCTTTCCCTCTCTACAATTCACAGCTTTGAAGAATCGTTCAAAACATTTCATCCCATTTTCAGTTAACAGGGATGGATCAAGCTGAAGCACATTACTTTCAAAGAAGTCCTTGTTAATATCAGGGTCTAAGTCTGGTTCATCCCCCATCAACTTGGAATACCACTTAAAACAGGCTTCACGATCACAAAGGTAAACTGCATTCTCTGCTAAGCATTTCCATATTTGTTTTGCTTGAGGAGCACAGAGCCACAGCTGGCCATCCTTCAATAAAAATCTTAGAAAAACAAACAATTAACCATTAGTATCTGCATAATTTTATTCTCATGGGCAATCTACTTGGATACGTATAAAATAATACATTTATTACAATATATTTAAGTACAGATTTTTAAAAAGTCATTTCAAAAGAACTTATTTCTCAACTTTTATATGGTACTAAAAAAGTACTAGATATTAACATGCTCATTTAACAAGCATATATTTTGGACACTGTGTGCTAGGAACTCAGCTAATTGGATATAAACATGAATAAAAAAAATTGAACTCAGTTTACTCTTTGAAACTAGTCATTCTAAAGGTGTTTCAATAAGTGATTTGATAAAATGTAAGGGTTAGCATCCTATTCATATGGCATTACTGGAGTTTTAAGTACAACCACACTCCTCCCTTATCAACATGGTAAGGTTCCAAAGACCAGGTCATTATGTGAAAATCAGCATTGTGTGAAAATGGAGGATGGCTACATCAGATCACAAAATGGGGGGTGATGGCATCACTACATAATTCCCAAAGCTCATTACAGTATTATCACTGCCAGATTACATCATTACATAACTGTCAAACCACCAAGATTCATGGCCCAGCTAACTTAACACATAACCATTACAGCCAGCATTACTATCATCTCCCATCTCAGCATTCATTACTGTCAGATGTAAATCGTTAATGCACAAAAAAGCTGGATAAATTTTTACTATTGTCATAAATGAGAAACATTGGATGAGATAGTTAATATGTCAGGAATAAGTGTATTCTACTAAGTGACTTTCATAGATAACCCATCAATATGTAAGCATTAAAATACATTAACTTTTAATACTTTTTGGCGATCTAATATCCATCACTCAAGTGCCAGGCACATTAAACAGAATAACTTACATATGATTTAAACTTTTTATGTAAATAATCAATAGGATGGATGCTTGTCAATTATTCAGTGATGTTCTCCAGGGTCTTTTTAGTTCTACCGACTCCTGATTTGGTTATTAAAGTAAGACAATAACGAAGGTGAATTCTGCTATACCTAGTCTCTTCCTTCTGTTAGCTTTCTAATTTCTTTTAGCATTCATCCATCTACCCAAGTCTACCATATGAATGACAATGAAAAAGAACAGTTCATCTTATTCTGAATGGTAATTTTACAAATAATTCTTAGCTAATATGATAATGGTAGTTCCATGCCCAGTTACAAGGTAAGGTGCACACAATGAATGTCAGTAGGTTTCCTATTTCAAAGCATTGCTGAGCTTTAAGAGGGTTTCTAGCAGCTAGTACAATCTAAATTCACCTGTGCTCAATTTACAGATGAGAAAACTGTGGTACAATGTGAAGGTATGCAGTTGTTTTAAAATTTTGTAATTTTTTTTTGGAAAGACAACATTGAAATACTTCTTCAAACTAAAACCCCATACATCTAATACATGAAATTTCCCCAGTTAGAACAAGGGAGAAAGAAAGAAGCAGAACTTGAACCAATCTGAATATTGATTTTCTTATTAAGCAAATAGGAGTTACACCTGCCTTACTGTGTTTGCTATGATTAAATTTTATGTGTTTATTTAACACAAGGCTGAATACACAGCAGGCGTTAAATGGTAGGTTTCTTTCCCCATGAGTTGTAATAAATCACAAAGATAAGTGCTAATAGAATAGGGTCTAGAATAGGTCCTCTGACTTCTAACTTTAAAATAGTAAAAAGGGTTTATAACCCTTTTTCTGTTTTAGTAAGCCTAAGGAACATAATGCACACCACTCTGTGACAATGGTTCATTATGGCATTGAGTCTCAATCTGGGCAGGCAGGACTTTCTATCCACGTGGTTAAAAACAAAACAAACCAACAAACAGAACACTTCACTTGAAAAAAATGCCAAATTTCTTCAAATGTGGTGGGTAGAATTTTTCTAGAGTTAAAATCATCATGTAGATATGTAAGGTTTCCCCCATAAATAAGCACAGAGTTTAATAAATAATTAAAATAGACCAAAGAGTAAACTTTTGAGAGTATCTATCAAAGTAATAAATACATTTTCTGAAACACTGACAGCCTGGACATTTTCCTTTAGCACATTTATGCTCCAAAGACACTCTTCTACTAAATAATTTAATTTATAAAAAACCTCTCATTTTAACAAAGGTTAAAATGAGGTTCTTTAAATGAGGTTAAAAACAGAGGTTCTTTCAAATCTCAAAGTGTATAGTCATTAAAAACTAAATATCACTGAGTAAATCTAGCCTTGGACTACATTTAACTTCAGCTTAATGGAATAAGTTTCTTTTCTGAAGTAATATTAACATGTGATTTCAGGTTCCTATGTCAGTCGTTGTTAGGATAAAAAATGTTACTAGAGGGAATCAAACCATTATGTTGGTATGCTAGTCCAGCAGCCTTCTGTCCATCTTTCCCTAGTGTTCATGACAGAAATTTTATCAACATGGTTCTTTAGCTGATTTGTATCCAATATAAAAATTTGTTCTCTAAAGAGTAAACATTTATACTCTAAACAAATATAAATAACAGAACTCTAACCCACAGTTTAAAATATTGCAAAGTAAAAAAATTAAACTCAGCCTATGTATTTAATTATGACCACATAGAGAGATGTCATGTAACTTTTAGACAATGAAGGCATTCAATTTCAGGGAGAAACCAAACCTGCTGCCATCGAATTGATTCCAACTCATAGTGACACAAAGGGAGTTCTGGTGGTGCAGTGCAAACAGAGTAAGACACCTAACGGGGTTTTCCAAGGCTATAGATCTTTACAGAAGGAGACTGCCTCATCTTTCTTCTGCAGAATGGCTGGTGGGTTTGGACTACCAAGCTTTTGGTAAACAACCAAATGGCTAAATCACTACACCACCAGAGCTCCTTTCAGGGACAAAGGGCCCTAAAAAAAAACCTACACAGAACATTACTTCTGCATTCCTTATCTGTGTCTAAAAGAAAACAACACTAATTATTTTAAAAAATATACCTAAGGAAGTTGAGCCGTTCTTGGACTTCTTGAACATGACTATATCTACTTCCCAGCCTAACAGTTTGTGGGTCATAGTCTTCATGGTCTACAAAGAAAAAACAAAAATCATGACTTACACAGACGGTATATACCCACATAACGGTGATCTTTAACCAAAGGAAATCAAGTCAGTTAAAAAGTCATTAGTCATTTATCATTAAAAGCAACCTGCAATCTACTAATAAATAAATCCTGGATTTTGTGTGTCCATTAGTGCCAAAGAATTCTAATTGTGTGAGCTCCTTTGAAAATGGTAAAGGTAGTAATATTAGTTTTCAAAAACAGTGAGGTTCTTCTCTGAACAAAATCTTGACATATGAAGATGAAATTTTTACAATGTTTGGAAACACTTTTGGTAGTGAAGAAAGAAATCCTGTGTATTATGACTCACTGCCTTCTACTTCTACTATATATATTAGTATCTGCCAACAATCTTAAACATGAATTGTCTCCTTTCACAAAAGTCAATTTCATCAATGCTGAAGTCTGGATGTGCTATTTCTCCAGCTTTTCTCTAGAAAATGGAGAAAGTATCAAGTCTTATTCTCTAAATTTTCTAATTCAGAACACTATTCTGGGAGCTTCTAAAATATTGGACTTCAGCTGCCTTTTTAAAAAACAACTTCATACACAGCTATGCATACTTCTAAAAACCAAACTCACTTACATCAAGTCAATTTCAACTCATAGCGACCCCTACTGGGTTTCTGAGGTGATAAATTTTTACAGGAAGTAGATTGCCCCATCTTCCTTGCATGGAGTGGCTGGTGGGTTTGAACTGCCTACCTTCTGGTTACCAGTCAAATGCCTTGGGCAGTGTACCATCAGAGCTCCTTATGTATATTTGGCAAGGCCTTTTTTTAATGGTGACTTTTAGTAATTTCAACCATGGGAAATTTTCTAAAGTAATACAAGAATTCCCTTTATAACCTCTACCCAGATTGACCAAGTGTTTACATGTTGTCTCATTTGCTTCACTGTTGTTGTTGTTATGTGTCGTTGAGTCGGACCCGACTCATAGCGACCCCTCCTTGGGTTTTCCAAGGCAACAGTATCACTACAGAAGTAGATTGCCCAACCTTCTTTCTGAGGAGTAGCTGGTAGGTTTGAACCGCCAGCCTTTGGGTTAGCAGTCAAGTGCCTTAAGCACTACGGTACCACAGCTCCCATTTGCTTCATTAGTCACCATATATACTTATGTGTACCATTTTTCTAAACCATATGAGTTGCAGACATGTCCTTTTACCTAAATATTTGCATGTGTATTGCCTAACAAGGGCATAGTGTATTATCAAACACTGTTACAGTATGATCTAACCCAGGATTCCTCAACAAGACACTACTGACAATTTGGCAATCGATTCATGATTGTAGAGGTCTGTCCTGTGCAGTGCAGGATGTCCATCAGCATTCTCAGGCCTCTACCTACTAGATGCCAGCAGAATCTCTGCCCTCTAACCCTTGAAGACAGACAACCAAAAATGTCTCCAGGCACTGCCAAATATCAATGTGGAGAACTAGTGATTTAATTCAGTTTAACCAATTTTCTGATTATGATTTTCTTTTCTCCAAGTCTAAGAGTAAATACACATTGTGTTTCATTACGCCTTTTCAGTCTTTCTTAAATCTGGAGGATCCACCATTTATTTGTGTTATCCTGACCTTTTTGAAAACTACATGAATTTTGTTGAATATTCCTCAAGTTAGGCTTCTATGGTGCTTCCTCGTGATTAGATTGAGGTTACGTATTTTGGCAAGACCACTGCAGAAGTGACGATATGACCTCTTCAGTGCCTCATTCTCAAAAGGCACATCTTTCTCAGTTTGTGGCAAAACTCACAATGTTAACTTTGATCACTTGGTTAAGGTGGTTTCCACTAGGTCTCTCCACTATAAAGTTACTATTGTTCTCACCATAATTATTAAGGAATTTGTGGGGAAATATGTAAACTCCTTGTTTCTTCTCAAACCGTTAGTTTCAGCATTGTTCCTTTTCTTCAGGTGCTGACTTTATTTATCAAAAACTAAGACACAGGGTAGGACTTTGGAAGCATTTGATGAAAGTCAAAGAATAATCAAGCAGCATTAAGAAATTAGATAAGCCCTCCATGCTAAAAAGGAGAGGAAGCGCTCTTTAACTACAAAAAAGATCCTGGGTTGTCAAAGCATGAAAAACAGGCTGGTTAGCAGTTTTCGTTGAAAACATTCAGCCCCAAACAAATACCTCAATTTGTTAGCAAATAAGGAGAGTAATCTATTTTTGATTCATATTGCCTATGCGGCAATTTTCCAACTGAATATGTTGTTGTTGCTATGTGCCATTGAGTCAGACCCTACTCATAGCGACCCCTCCTTCGGTTTCCGAGGCGGTATCACTACAGAAGTAGATTGCCCAAGCTTCCTTCTGAGGTGTGGCTGGTGGGTTTGAACCGCCAGCCTTCTGGTTAGCAGTCAAGTGCCTCAGGCACTAAAATACCAAAAAGAATTTAGGTGACACTAAATTAATCCAAGTATCTATTTAAATGGGTAAGAAGTAGTGACTCACAGCTGAAGCTAATATAAACTGGTTCTTCTCCATTTTCAAAACTTAATATAAAAGTAGTTCACTTCTGAAAAACCATCTTTGAGACATTATCCCCATACTACAAAATTAACCCATTTAAAGTGTACAATTAAACAGTTTTAGTATAGCCAGGGTTGTGAACCTATCATCACCATCTATGTTTACAACTGTTTCCTTCACCCCAAAGATCTCTGTACCATAGTCACTCCACATCCTCCCCTCAAAAAACCCCCCAAAAGCAGCCTGGTCAATTCAATTCTGACTCATGTAATCCCATGTGTTACAGAATAAAACTGAGAGTTTTCTTCGCTATAATCTCAGAAGCAAATCACTAGGCCTTTCTTCGGCAGTACTGCTTGCATGAGGGTTCAAGCTACCAACCCATCAGTTAGTCACCAAGCACAAACCAATTTATGTTATCCAGGGACCTTATCAGATAAATAATTGATTTATTCTATTTAAGGAAGTCTAACAGCAATAAAAAAAATCTCTTGTTCTTTCTTTATCTAGGGGAGTCTATTTCTTAAAGACAACTTTGCTGGATTCAAGACTCTTGGTTGGCCAATTCCTCCCCTCTCCCCAGTATGTTGAATATGTTTTCCTACTACCTTCTGGATTCTGATGAGAAGTTAGCTTGTTAATCTGTGGTATGCTTGTACCTTAAGGAGCTCTGGTGGCGTAGTGCCTAAGGCACTTGACTGCTAACCAGAAGGCTGGTAGTTCAAACCCACCAGCCACTCCTCGGAAGGAAGGTTGGGCAATCTACTTCCGTAGTGATACCGCCTCAGAAACGTAAGGAGGGGTCACTATGAGTTGGGTCCGACTCGACAGCACGTAACAACAACACAACAACAACCTTCAAGATTTTCTCTGAGTGTGATGTGTTTCCATCCCTTTTTATCTGTCATACTTGGAATTTGTTGAGCTTCTTGGATGTATAGATTAACGTGTTTAGTCAAGTATGGCAAGTCTCCAGACATTTGTCTTTGCAGTTTTCTCATGATTGTGCTGCTATTCCCATTATGTTGGTACACTTAATAGTGTCCTACATTTCTCTCATGTTCTGTTTTTCTTTGTTTTCTTCTTTGTTCTTCAGATTAAATAATCTCTGCTGATCTACATTCAAGCATGTTACTTCTTTCTTCTGCCAGTTTAAACCTATTGTTGAGCAATGCTAGTGAATCTCATTTTAATTCCAGAATTTTCATTTGGTGGCGTTTTTGTGGGCTTGTTAAAAAAGTAATTTACAGCTCTTCAATGATATTCTCTATTTGATTGGGTATTGTGATTATACCTACAATTCCTTAGACTTGGTTTGCTCCTCAGTTCTTTGAATATGTTTTCAAGTCTTTGTCTGCAAAGTCCATCATCTAGACTCCTTCAAAGGTAGTTTCTGTTGTCTGTCAACACTTTCCTGTTTCTTTGCAAGTACTGGTTTTGTTGGAAGCTGGATATTTTAGATACCACACTATAGCTACTCTGGATATATATACCCTCATCCTAACCCTAGAGCACAGGCTGATGATGTTTGCTTGTTTAGTGACCAGGCTGAAGTAACTGTCTACTGTTGAAGCTCTGCTATGTCTGCTCAGATTTCCCCTCCCCCTGTTCTTTCAGCCTGTCTGTGGAGGAATCCGCCCTAGGTCAAACTGAGCTCCTTATTGGTCAAAGGCTGTGCTTAAGGCCCCTTGGCAAATTAGTTATTTACCTTTTATCATCAGGTATGTGTGTGGCTTGAGGCCGCTATCACAGTTCACAGATTTTATGTTTCTGTGTCACATTTAACCAGGTATTAGTAGTTTGGATGTTTGATCTCCAATCACTCCAGAGAGGTTTAGTCAGTCTTGAGCATGCAGGGTTGTATGCAAGTTTATATTCCTAGGAGTCTCCCATTCATCTGGGTAGATTATTGTTTGGCTTATTGTTTGAGCACCTTGTGCCTATGGAGCCTCCGCATTTTGCTGATGATCCATTTGCAACCTGGGGAATTCAACTTGCCCTACATTCTGCTCTCATTGTTTCTGAGTAGGTGTAGCCTAACCCATGCACATAGCCTTCCTTAATATACACCACCCCCATACACACAAGGCTGACAGTGATCACAGGAGGACTCTTGGCTGTCTATTTATCTGGCACTTCTGGTTAAACTTCTGGTTACTACTTCAGTTGTTAGTACCAGTAAATACAGTTACTAGCACCCTCTTATTTGATCTAAACCTATTTAGAATTGGAAGCAGGTACAGCAGCCTGCTTCTCAAGGAGTGATGCCCCGGCTCTACAAGCAGGTGCTGGTAGGGAGAAGGGAAGCCCATAAATTTTTAAGATTGCTTGTTTTAGCATGGAACCTCCACCTTATAAGCAAGCTGGGATGGGGGTAGTTGGAGCACCAGTATTATTGGCCTAGAGCAGAACTTCTGCCCTACAAGTAGAGAGTGAGTGGGGTTAAAGAGTATCAGTCCTTTTAGCTGAGACCACCAGGAACAGAACATCTCCAACATACAAGGAAGAGGAGAATGAGAAACACTGGTAAACTGTCCCTCCTGAGGTGAAACTGTACACAGATTGGCAGCTATGGTGAGGGGGAATCCCCTCTTTTCAGCTGCACATGCCTAGAGTAGTTTCCAAACAACAGAGAAGAGAATGGGAAGAAAGGGTAAGTTGTGGCTCAAATACTACAGACTCTCACTATAGATTTAGATTTTCTTCAATAAATGTTTCACCAATAAATGTTACTATATTTTCTTGAATAAATGTATACCATTAAGACAGTTCCAGAGACTTTAAGTATTTTTTAATATAATTTTTCTCTAGCTAAAAGGCTGTTTTGTTAGAGGTAACTTACATGCCAAGCATCTTACTCCAACAATCCAGAAGTTAACCACCCCCATAGCTCTTGGATTTGTTAATTTCTATCACATGTTCTACATTTGCTAATATTCTGCTACATCAGTACAAATTGCAATGTTGTTGTTGTTATTTGCCGTCGAGTCGGCCCCAACTCATAGCGACCCCTCCTTGGGTTTCCGAGGCAGTATCACTACGGAAGTAGGATTGCCCAACCTTCCTTCTGAGGAGTGGCTGGTGGGTTTGAACCGCCAGCCTTCTGGTGAGCAGTCAAGTGCCTTAGCCACTATGCTACCAGAGCTACCACAAATTGAAACATTCATATTTTATTAAATGGAGTTAATACTATCATTATTTATTTTGCTATTCTAATTGATCCACATCTGGCCAGTGAGAGCTAACTCCTGTGTCCTTGTGACATGTTTGCATGATTTTTTTGAACACTTCCACACTTTCTAGAACAAGATGTTCAAGGCTCATCTTGTTCTTTCACTGTGCAAAGCTTACAAATATCCATTTCCCCAAAGAGCTGTAAACTTAATACAATGGATAATACTAGCTTATTTTTTTAAAATCACAAAGAATCCACACAGATCTAAAACTACTTCATAGATTAGCTACTTAGCAAGTCTAGCCCAGAATCTCCATTCCAATAGAATTGTTGCTGAGGAATAGTCATGAAGGAATCTTTTTTGTGGAAAATGTATCTAAAATGGCTAGTGTTGGATATAAGAGAATGGGAAGAGATGATGGAAACTGACAGTCTTAAGGAAACAAAATGCAATAATGTGATCTACAATGAAGACAAGTCCTCGAAGTAATCCAGAAATCAGGAAAAAAAATAAATGAAACCTGCTTTTTTTTCATTAGCACAGCAACCATCCTTTCAATGATCTAATACCTAAGTGAAAATTGGTTTATGTTTTGTTGTATGCATATAGAAAGACTTTAAAAGAATGATTGGGGCAAGCACCAAGTACATGAAGGTAATAGTAGTGAGACCATGAATAAAGTTGGAGAGAATTTAATAAACTCATTCCTGCACCTCAACTAACCTTAAAGTATGAAATGAAATCAACTGACCATTTTACTGATGAAATATAGATATACTTCTCCCCTGGAAAGCTAAATATGCTAGCGAAGATGAACTACAGGCAGGGCAAATTTTTAATACTGGTGAAATGATTATTAGAAACTGAGAACATCTGTGAACTTGAAAGCCTGATGTTACCATGCTGTACAACGTTTCATGCTTAATGGGATCTAAGCAATATTTTTATTATAAACAGGTAAAAACCATAAAGAGCTTCAAATTACAAATCCAGAAATGTTGGTGGTTGATAGTATCACAAAACTGATTTAATGTCATGAGAGAAGTTTTATTTTGTAGAATTTTACTAGCTTGAGAAAGTACTTTTCAAAGACGCATAAAAGACAATAATAATGAAGATTAAAAAAATTATTTTTGTCCCTAATTTAAGAATGTATAGACAGATCAGTATTAAGAGTATTGCACTGTATTAGAGGAGTAAAGGTGTCAACGTTTGTTAGAAGCAACAGAGAGTATTAAGTCAATGAATTCAGGGGAACATATTAATAGCAAAAATTCTACTAGCATAAAGAACTTGCCTGTTTGAGTCAGGAGCTCTGGTGGCACAGTGCCTAAGGCATCTGACTACTAACCAGAAGGCTGGCAGTTCAAACCCACCAGCCACTCCTCAAAAGGTTGGGCAACCTACTTCCATAGTGATACCACCTCAGAAACCCAAGGAGGGATTGCTATGAGTCAGACTTAACTTGACAGCAGTGAGTTTGTTTAATACAAACTCACATCTTTTAATTTATGGAGATACAGACAGTATAAGGAGGGGAATCTGAAGAGTACAGGAATGTTCAGATGACCATGAAACTGAGATGGAGCACTAACCCAGACTATAACTAAAATGTAAAAGACCCTAGTGAGGCTGAACTGTGCATGCATCATCTCCTAATTGGCTTTGCAGTAGAGTTTGCAATCGCTGACAGTGAAATTAACCACCATAGGCAAATGAAGTAAACATAAATTAACAATGAAGTACGTATAATTCAGATGGCTCCATTTTGGGATAAAGTCTGCACTGGCAAGTGGGAGGGCTCTGTATCATCCTAGGAAGAAATGCAATTACACCAAAGAATCTTGAGTTATGTTAAACTGAATGCTTGAGGGCTAAAGTGTACTACATGCAAACCTCTATTCTCTTTTATTGATTTTGGTCATTATATAAAACATAAATCATATGGCTGCATACCTACAATGTCTTGCTTGTTCTATCATGATGCTCAGAAGCAGCAACCTAGAACTGAAATGATGAAAGATCTTGCCCGGTACCCGTCAGCACTCTCATGCTTATACTGCTCCTCTGGCTACAATTTATATCAAGAGTTATATTCTTCAAATAATGAGTACTGCAAACATCTTCATTTAAAATATACACTACTGACTTCTGCTAATCCAAATATAATGAGTAGTTAAAATCTACTCACCTAATGTTAACATGTTAGATGAGTATATCGGTTAACTGTTATACTGGAAATATAAAGTAGTTTTAATCTATACTTTGGGAACAAATTGAGCTTACAAGGTGACAGACTTTTTTTTGACATGTGAACTTGGCATAGGAACGGAAGAATATATACTAAAGTGCACACATGTGCTCTAGCACACACAGACCCCGCTCCAACTGTCAGAGGGCAAAAGAATACTGAAACAGCTCCACATGTGGCAGGCAATCAAGAACTATCTGTTCCAATCATAGGAAACTTCACCCCAACATGTTTCAACAATTAAAATCTCTCACAACCAATTAAAACATCATGATTCCTGTAGTTTCCTGTCTTTTTCTTGCAAATTTTTAATCCATAAAGTCCAAAGCACTTAAGAAATGTGGACTTAAGATTAGCAAAGAACTGTAATATATATAAAACAGACAAAATATTAACAGATTTCTTACAGGTGAGTTTTGAGTCAAGTTTCCTTGAAAAACTAAGGGTAGTGGTAGTAAGGGAAAAAAGGTTGAAAATGAGTCAAGTACACACCTAAGCAGGTAACAACTAATTGCAGTATAGGCAGGCAGAGCTCCCAGGCAGGGAAAAAAAGAAATCTGTTTAACAAGGAGAGTGGGGAAGGCAAGCAAACAGTAAACAGCCTTGAAATGCTGGCCTGTAATTTAGGTTGTGTAATATTTGGGAGTAAAAGTGGATTGTAAGCTCATAAATACAATTAATAAAACTAATTATCTGTGTCTTTTACATATATTGTCATTTCTAAGGTAATTGATAAAACAAAAAAAAAATTGTTGGGAAGGTTAAGTCATTTTTGTTTCCCACAGTTAATCTTAGCTTACAATACGTACCTCTAGCATACAGTCTCATGCTTTCCATGTAAGTCGCAAGGTTTTCTGCTACCAAAGTAACTAGGGCATGATTGTGCTGAAGTTGATTGATTAAGTCATGGCGATAAAATACATGTGGACTTCGCTGAGTTTGACTGAAACGAGAAGAACTTAACAATATAATTAGGCAATTAAACTCTGTTGTAATCAAAAGTTTATACCTATAAATTCTACTTACTAATTTAAAAACTTAAAATGTTTTCATTCATAAAAGAACTACACTTTTCTTCACTTATTTCCTTTAATGATAATAACAAGTAATTTAAAATAATGCTTCAAAAATACTATTTTTATTTTACATGAAAACAATGCATCAATAGCATTCAACCTCATCACAAGGATATCTAACTCAACGACTAAGGTCTATTCCTATACTGTTGTACTACCCAAATACTTGCTAAGTTTACGTGATTATTTCAAAAATTATAAAACAGAAGCATTCTTTATAAGAACAGTATCACAAATATTATGTAGTAAAGAAGTTAATCAAAAGGAAATGCTTTCGGTAAAATTTTATTTAATAGCCTTTTAGGATATATTCAGTGACACTTGGTTGTAGCCAAATTTACTCACAGGTGTCACCAGAAAGACATCTAATTCCTTTCTAACCTATTCTGTCACCTTCATGATAGCCAATCAACTATCACAACCACTGCTCTTCTAATGAAGATAAAGCCACTGTTTTGTCAGGAGAGTATGCAAACTACTATCTGCAACAGACAAATGGATTCATTTGAAGAAGGACAAAAGGCACATATAAAGTGAGCCAATATATGACCCTGTTAAGTGTCACTGTTAATAAGGTGTATGTCTGAATATTCACCAGTGTTTATCCGTAAAACTTGCCAAATTCACATTATGTTCCAGCCTTGGGAATAAAATAAGAGAAAATCTATTTGAGTTTAACATAAACCATATATATGACCTTTCTTACTTCTGTTTTAGGCTTAGAATAGAGCAACTAGGAGCTCTGGTAGTGTAGTGCCTAAGGAACTTGACTGTTAACCAGAAGGCTGGTGGTTCGAACCCATCAGCCACTCCTCAAAAGGAAGATGGGGCAATCTACTTCCATAGTGATACTGCCTTGGAAACCCAAGGAGGGGTGGCTATGAGTCGGGTCTGACTGGACGGCACATAAAAACAACAACAATAGAGCAACCTAAGAGATATAAAGGATCTGAGCAACCATCTAATATTAACACACAATAAAAACAAATTTTTTAAAAGATTAGAGAACTTTTCTAAGATCATCTGGATTGGTAAGACACAAAGATCACACCCTGGAATCTTGCTTGACTCTGAGTCTTCTTTACACTACACTAGTTCTCTGCATTATGTTTTCTTTTTGTGCTATTACCAGAAAGCACAAGGAGAGATTATTCCAGTAACCAAAATTTGGCATCTAAAATAATACATTTAAACATAATTATTTAACAAAAATTTTGCTGAAATAAATCAGTAAAAAAAAATTTCTATAAGAAATACTATTATAATGTGGAATAAAGGGTGGACACTGGGTAAAGCGGGAAATAAAGGCAGGAATGATAAAAGGAAATGAGTAGTGAGATTAACAGACACAACACATGCCATGAAACTGTCTGGCATACTTGCTGAAAATAAGATAATTCTGAAATAAGAATCTGAAGGCAATATCATCACCTTGATTCTGATACTTATCAGTGGTTTCCTCCCTCATCAATAAAATAAATGTGGGTATGCTGAAAGATTCCTCTTCTGTTCCAAATCAACTCTTTTCTTAGCCTCCTGTTACTTCACTCTAATTTTCATTCTTTGAAATTTGCTTTTACCAAAAGATATCCTGTTTCTCATGTATAGGGTTGGCAGACAATGGTCCTATAAGTTAATGTGAATGATCAGAATTCCCAGATGTATAGTAGAGCTGACAAGGGGCAAGGCTGTGGTCACTGCTTGGTCACAGACAGCTACCCAGAGGGACCGAGTAGTTGAACCTGCGGGCTCGGGACCACAGTCACAGGGGACATCAAGCTCAATTGGCATAACATACTATACA